CTCCCTAGCACCAGTTTTACTTACTAAATATTTTGCCGATGTTCTGCAGTCCGTCGCCTAGATCCAGGTGAACTCCTCGTTCCCTCTTGCTGTTGTGCTTCCATTCAGAATCCCGTGGATGGGTTCGTGGTGAGCCGCATCCTGCGGGACCTTGGCGATGACAAAGATGGTCAAGTCGACTTCCTCGAGTTCGTGATCACCATCGCGGCCTTGAAATTCTGCTGCCACCCAAACTTCCGAGCGCACCACGAGCGGAATGGCAGGACCCACGCGCTGACCGCATTCAAAGTGTAACGTGGCTGTTTGAATGATACGGATCTTCTGAAATAAATCTCGTCGTTGCATAAACGTGCCGTGTTGGACTTTGTGCTCTGTATGGAAACTACCAGTGGTTTCGCTGAGCTATGTTAGCAATGGGGTTGATTTAGTCTAACATGTAGCTCGCGTGATTTATAAGTGTCGTAACCCTCTACCACCCGACACGGCCAAACGGTAAAAAATGTGTCGCGTTTACATAAGACAAATGGTTCACTACTTTAGTCCACCGGTGTGAGTAAATCAACATAATTTACAATGTTTAAGTACGACGTTTCGCTGGTAATTACATCCAGCAGAATCGGGACAATTTGCCAGAATGGTGAGGCCCTCCCACGTGCTCACGATCGTAAATGGAGCAGCCCGGTGACGTCCTCTTTTAACTCGATCTGGTGCAGAGATTTGAGGGGTTGATCAACTCGGGTTCCACCAATGCGTAGTCCCATAGCTTTGCGGATTTATTCCAAGCAGTTGTGTTGGAGGCAGTCTCGTTAAGAAAGTGCCAGGAGCGTTTCGCCTCTTAAAATTAATCGTCTTTCAAGGCAAAATGAGAACTTGAGCCCCGGGGAGTAAGGGTTTGATACGAGCAACGGGTGAAGCCGAGGGATCTTTACAAGGTTTACAATGTATTTTGGCAAGAAAAGTCTGAAAATATACTACCAACACATTGTTCTGCGGAGGGAGCTGGTAGGAACGTTGGGTTGCTCGGTCAATGGCCAGGGTCAACGGCGGCGTGGTGTATTCCGCAAATATGGCCGACTGAGGGTGGGCACAAGCCGGCGTGAGTAGGTTAAACGTTGAGTTTTATAAGGGCAGCACGGGGTGACCAGCCCCTCCCCTTTCCACCCAGCCCCTCCCCTTTCCACCCAGCCCCTCCCCTTTCCACCCAGCCCGTCCCCTTTCCACCCAGCCCCACCCCTCCCATTTTTTGATGCACGACGGACGGACACAATAATCCCCTGTGGGCTGGTGGAACCAGGTGGTTCCTACCAGTATAAGTTGTCTCCATTGTGTGTTTATCACAGAACGGGTGAGATGACATTCAACATTTACAATCTCATCGGCAACTATCACGGAGAGGCACGCGTTCGCAGGCTCAGACTTGTTCGGCAATCTTGCTATGGGAGGGATATCCTGTCATGGACAGCAATTTGCATTATTGTAGCATGATTGTATCACAACCATAGGCAACACAACGCATGAAAATACCAGCATAATATACACGCAAAATGGTGTATTATGAGGTAGACAGAAAAAGATCGCAAGGATCCCCAGCAAGCCTGACGAGTTAAGATAACACCACTCCTTTGTTTGGCATGATGTTTAATGTTTCATTCCGTGTGCTCGGAGTTTATTAAGGATCTCAAACTCAGTTTCTGAAGAACCTAGCAGGTGGAGCGAACAACACATGACCCTATCGCCATTGTTTGCAGAGGTTCGTGGTGCAAATTCAGCAAGTTGTCTTGGTTTTTAATGTGGGTGCATTAACTATATAACAAAAAATATGATTGTCCAAATGCGCCTTATTTATTACCCGGAAATTACTCAATTTAATAACGCCTAGCATGTTTTGAACATATTGTAATTCAATCAAACACATTTTAAAACGCCAGCAAGCCATGGCATTACAGAAATCCAAACTTGATAAATAAAAAAATAAAGGCACCAGCCTCTCAGCATCGGGAAGGGACAGCAATGGAACTTGCTCGAGTTATGCTGCGTATAAATGAAAAAAACGAGATTTTGGTAGCGTTACGTGTACGTAGGCCTCGTGTCAAACTGGGATCCAGGATAACGCCCACAATTCTGATTGAATTACAGTCCCATCTATGGCCATACTTAAACCATCCATAGTATTGGTGCTTTCGGTAAAGTCACGTAGAAGGGAAATAATAAAATAATAAAAATAAAACATAATAAAATGAAATTCTCACGACGTTTCGGCCACAACGCAAGCAGCCGTCCTCAGGTGAAGAACAGGTCTGTCGGAAAGACAGCGTGGCCGAAACGTCGTGAGAATTGTATTTAATGTTTTAATTTTATTATTTCATTATTTCCCTTCTACGTGACTTTACCGAAAGAACCAAGAATATGAATCCCTGCAGTCACGAAAGCTTTAAATTGAAAAATAAAACCATCCAATTTACGCAATTGATGTGGAAAGCCCAACGACTTGATCTGTCTTCTCACAAATTAGTTTAAGAAAGTTTAAGTTGCATCCACAACTCGACAAGACGATGTGATGGTACGGAAACTGCGACTTTGATATCAGTCAGAGTATCGATTTAAAGCTTTCGTGACTGCAGGGATTCATCTTCTTGGTTATTTCGGTAAAGTCACGTAGAAGGGTAATAATAAAATAATAAAAATAAAACGTAATAAAATAATTCTCACGACGTTTCGGCCACAACGCAAGCAGCCGTCCTCAGGTGAAGACCAGGTCTGTCGGGGAGACAGCGTCTGAATGAAACACCACCAGGCTTGGCAGCGTATATTTAAGCTGGTTTGGAAGGGGGGAAGGGTGCCTTGACAAAATAATTTGCATATCAAATATGCTAAATTCCTCTTGATATGCAAATTATTTTGTCAAGGCACCCTTCCCCACTTCCAACCTAGCTTAAATATACGCTCCAAGCGTGGTGGTGTTTCATTCAGACGCTGTCTCCCCGACAGACCTGGTCACCTGAGGACGGCTGCTTGCGTTGTGGCCGAAACGTCGTGAGAATTATTTTATTATTTTTATTTTTATTATTTTATTACTTCCCTTCTACGTGACTTTACCGAAAGAACCAAGAAGATCAGTCAGAGTCTTAAGATAAATCTGTGAGTCGACATAAAAGTTCAAATGTACAGTAGGCGGTGAAGTTGCCGTTTGTAATCCCAATTGAGTAATATGCGGGTAATATTTCAGCATTTGGATGTTTGGCCAATATCGGTTACACTTCTTTTTTCCAGCTATGGGAGGAAACTGGATAAATTGGAGGAAAATCATGCTGAACAGGGGGAGAACAAATACACTCCTTGCAGAAAGATACCTGAGCTGGGAATTGAAACCACGCTAATCTTGCTGTGAGGCACAGGTGTTACCACTGCCTAACTCTACCACCATACAAGTATACAAGCCAGAGACTAGTTCAGCTTCTGATGTGAAATGTAGTGTTTGTTTCATGCATAAAGACCAATATACACTAGACATTTCCATTGCAGTCAATGGGGATGCAATCACATTGCACGGTTTGCACCCGATTCGCTTCCAACGATTGCAAGAAATCCAGGTGAAATGCTTTACCACTGAGGGCGATGCATGCGAGTGCAATATTGTCGCAAAAGATAGAAACACATGCATACGTACATACACAGAAACAAATATTCCCCTTGTAGTCTTCAACACTCTGTTGCGGAACAAGCTAAAGCTGTTAGGGAGCACCTATGATGACCAGCATACGACACGAGGGGGTGGTTTGGCTCGCACCAAACATGGCCATGTGATGTTTGCACACTACACCAGGCACCCATTCAATGGTGATTTGATCTCGTGGAGGCCCATAACCGGTTCAGATATTCATCACTGATACTTGGTCTGTGAGCAGCAATCAACCTCACTCGCCGGGGTTCATAGTGCAGTGCGTTAATCACTACACCCACCGCTCCCCACATACACACAACATGCAAACACGTACGTACGTTGACTCGTGCAGACACGCATATTGCACATGCACACAGCAACACGCGTACACGTATGGAGTGTGACTGCATGAAACCGCATCGCGACCATTTTTAAATCCTTTATATTAAGTTCGCTTGCGCGCTTACGACCGTGCAAATCTTTCGGTCGTTTTTTAACCCACTTCCCGTGATCCAATCGAGCTGACATTTTCCACACAGACTCGTTGTGCGTGACAATTAATTTTTTTGGAATTTTTTTTCTCCAAAATTGTACACTTTTTAGGACAAAAATATTATATTTAATTACCAATTGCTTAATGGTGCAATGCAATCATCTGACCCATAGGTGGCAGCCATCTCAAGCCAGAGGACGAGAGGACTCTAGCCGCCACGCATATAAAGGATTTATAGTGAAAAATTTTGTTTGTACGGATTAATTTTTTACATTGTAATAACGTTGCAATACTGTCGAAAGTAACGCAAACGATAGTGCTCGATAGGATTGCAATCCATCAGGTGCACAGAAATTGCACGGTGTATTACATTAGGTACGGAAGTTAATGACAAGATTCAAATAAGCCGCTCTTGCACACGGGACCATCTTGGTCTTACGCGTTCTCACCTGGTTCAACGGATAAACTTAAATCATGTATAACAGTGGGTAGGACATGTCACTAGATGATTGATGGTAGGTAGATGAGTGCGTAGAGGGGAGTTGAGCAATACAAGAGGGGAAGATGAAGACGGGGACGAGTTCAACGGAGGATCTTAAAAGTCGGTGAGAGCGATCGTGAAATTGATCTGGTATCGGATTGGGATATATATATACAAACACAGACATAATTTCCACCGTGATGATGGTTACAAACTGAGTAATCATTGGAAAGATGTGATTAACCATGCAAAAAAATATTTAACTACACTTATTTGGAGCATCTTATTTGACAGACAACTATTACAGGTTATTGATAGACAGCCAGGCTTGTTTTACCATGTTTAGTTTGTTTCTTTTTTCACACTTTTGTTATGTAGGCTAGGCGTAGTCACAAATCGTACCTCTCCATAACAAAGGCTCCGTCTTTTGTTATGCAGTCTATTCTTAGTCTTAAGCCTCACCTTACCATATTAATAAAAAGTGTGCCGTACTTGGCCCTTCCCCTCTTCAACCATTATATAAACGGAGTGGTAGCTCTTGTAATCTCTCATTTACTTGATACAGCTGTCGTGGCTGTGACGGTTCCACCTGAAGACGGAAGCTTGTGTTGCCTCCGAAACGCCGTGATTTTTATTTTTATTTTACTTTTATTAATTTTTATTTTTTACCTACGTGACTTTACCGAAAAAACCTAAGAATATTGGGAGACAGTCGAACGGCGGGAGCGTAGAAGCCACTTGGTTCCGTTTACGGGTGCCGATGACAGCTGTTACCCCATGGAATCTTCCACGACTTAAGGCCGATGGAGGCTTGTGCAGCACGCCGATGTCAGGGGCTGGACAGTCCACCGTGTTTGCTGAAGGTTGCATCACGGTCGAGATTATTAACCAGCGATGAGAGAGTCTGTACGTACCACAAGGCAGACGCACACGCACACGCCGGAACAAGCGCACCGTTAATTCACAACGAGCTGACGAGCCCAGTTCACCATCCTTGTGTAATAAGAGCCTATGTCAGATTCACGTGGTGATCGGCTTTGCCGGTCCCGCTTTACAGCCAATGGGGGGAGAGCCTGGGTTCATGGCCCCGGCGTGATCACGGGATGTCAGCTAGGTGATTGGTTTCGGTGGTCTTGGCCTCAGCCAATGGGAAGACAAGTCAGGGGCGTGGTCCCGGGAGTTGATGGGGGATCTGGAACATTCGGCGCAGGCTATTGAGGATTGTCTAGAGGGTACCACGTGACCCAGGCATTAAATAAGGGGAGAGAGGAGAGACACGGGGTCAGACACGGAACTAAGAGAGGGAGAGGCCACGCGCGAGTGGGGCTCCGGGTGCCACGTGGTGGTGGGTCTCTGGTGGCTGTCTGCCCGCTTCCCGTTGCCTACCAGCAACGGGGAGTGTTTGTGAACTGCAAAGGAAGTGAAATAAAAGGACCGATTCTACATGCGTGTTATTACACTTGTTATATGCAATAAGTGTGGCAGCACCGGGAGTGGGAGTCAAACCGTTGCATTCTCACCACCGCCCTCCTGGTTGTACTGGACGAGCGACTCAGCCCAGACATCGGGGACCTTCAGCGCCGGTCGCGGCTGCCGGCAGAAGCAGCAGTAGAGAACTCCTGTGAGAGACACGGCACGTTAATACTGGTAGGGACCTCCTGGTTACACCAGCCCACAGGGGATTATTGTGTCCGTCGTGCAGGGAGGGGCTGGGTGGGGAGAGGAGGGTGGGGAGACGGAAGCTTGTGTTGCCTCCGAAACGTCGTGATTTTTTTTACTTTTATTAATTTAAATGTTTTACCTACGTGACTTTACCGAAAAAAACCTAAGAATATGAATAGGGTGGGGAGGGGCTGGGTGGGGAGGGTGGGGCTGGGTGGGGAGGTAGGGGCTGGGTGGGGAGGGGAGGGTCGGGAGGGGCTGGGTGGGAAGGGTGGGGCTGGGTGGGGAGGGGAGGGTGGGGAGGGGCTGGGTGGGAAGGGTGGGGCTGGGTGCTTGGTGGGAGGGGTGGGGCTGGGTGGGGAGGGTGGGGCTGGGTGGCGGGTGGGAGGGGTGGGGCTGGGTGGGAAGGGTGGTGCTGGGTGGGGAGGGTAGGGAGGTGTTGGGTGGGGAGGGTGGGGCTGGGTGGGGAGGGGCTGGGTGGGGAGGGTGGGGCTGGGTGCTTGGTGGGAGGGGTGGGGCTGGGTGGGGAGGGGCTGGTCACCCCGTGGTGCCCTTATAAAACTCAACGTATAACCTACTCACGCCGGCTTGTGCCCGCCCTCACAGTCGGCCATATTTGCGGAATACACCACGCCGCCGTTGACCCTGGCCATTGACCGAGCAACCCGACGTTCCTACCAGCTCCCTCCGCAGGAATGTGTTGCAGCAGTTGCTCACCGGGTGGGCCTTTATGACGTTACTCAAATTCAACAAACGTGCGAACGTGTCAATTGCAACTGTCATCGTGCTGTTTGTTGCTGACCGTTTTGACGTGCGGGTCTGTGCTCAGCAACTGTGCATATCGCTCTATGGTTCTTTCGGTAAAGTGACGTCTAAAGATAAAATAATGAATTAAATAATAACATACGACGTTTTGATTGCAACACAAGCAATCATCATTATCAGGTATAAATGATTGCTTGTGTTGCAATCGAAACGTCGTATGTTATTATTTAATTTATTATTTTATCTTTAGACGTGACTTTACCGAAAGAACCATAGAGTAATTCCTGCAGTCACGAAAGCTCCAAATTCAAGATTGAACTGTGCATATCGCTTATTGTTAAATTTAAATCACAGTTCCTATGATTACTGTTGTTACATTGTTTTTATAGCTTTATTTTGGTGATTCGAAAACATATGGTTAATCTAAATTGTCTTGTCTTATGGTTGTTGTTGTTGTTGGCTTGCACCACATTGTGATTTTTGCACACAGCGTTTTAATAAAAAAAAATTGGGAATATTTGCTGGTTTATTCCAGGATGTTTTTGTTGCGCGTCGTCGCTTTAAGATGTTCTGTGTTCATATTTAGTTTGTTGCGGTTGCACCCGACTTAAGAGCCGCATGGCACACAGGGCTATACCTAATACATGAAACTTGAACTTGAATTGTGTATTTATTCTAGATTTGAAGCTTTCGTGACTGCAAGGATTCATATTCTTAGGTTTTTTTTCGGTAAAGTCACGTAGGTAAAAAATTACAATTAATAAAAGTAAAATAAAATAAAAATCACGACGTTTCGGAGGCAACACAAGCTTCCGTCTTCAGGTGGAACCGTCACAGCACGATAGCTGTATCAAGTGAGAGAAATTCCAAGAAAACAGTCCTTGTATATATACTGGTTGAGGGTGGGAGGAGCCAAGGTAGGCCCTGAATATTATTTTTGTGAGGTTCGGTGCGGCTGAAGCACGCTGCTAGGAATGAGCCTTTGTTGTGTAAACTTGGTGCGGATGATGTAAAGGTGCGTGTAAATGGGACTGAGCCTTTTGTTATGTAGAGGTGGTGCGGCTGAAATCGCTGCCAGGACTGTGTAATAATAAAAATTTCCAGCCGAACAGAATTGGCCCTCACCGAACAGCAGCAGAGTGAGGATCGGGAACACAATGGCGGCCAAGCCGTCGAATCCGAGGCCCACCGACCCAGCGGGAGTCACGCAACCCGAGCCCTTGAGTAGGCCCAAGCAGTGACAGGCACGCACGGTGATCTGTCTCGCCTCTCCGAGTCCTTCCCGGTCCCTCAGCAGCACCGAGAGCTGGTGCACCCCGGGCAGGGGGCCCTTGCCTGAGGGGGTCACGCGTGCCTGCAATCGCGCGTTCGTGGCTTGATAGAGGAAAAGGGGAACGGGTGAGATGGGGGAGGGGGGGCGTGCAATGGTGGCGGTAGAGGTATAAGTAGAAGCAATGGCAGGGGTAGCAGCAACATGGTGATACATTTTTTTAGTATCTTTGAATAAATGACTAGCACTGTAATAATATACCTTGTATGTCTATGGGGCTTACATGCCTCGCACCCATATTGCCTTCTCATTGACCCCAACATGGCCATTATGAACTCCCTGATAGAGTCATGGAGTATACCGAACCCCAAGGGTTGAATGATAACGATTTTTTAAAATATATATAGAGAGTGCCCTCCTTTACGCAAGGGCATCACAAGAGTGCTTTACATGCAATACATGACTTGCATCAAGCGAACTCTAGCCTTCCTCCGGTATTGGCTGGCCATCGAACAAAGACGGTGACCCCATTGCACGCTTTCAGATGCGCTTCTTTGGCCGTTTGGAACGCTCTCCCGTCTGATATTAGGAAGCCACTGGAGCTATGCACTTTTAAATGTAGATCGAAAACTAATTTATTTCAAACTGCTTTTAATGTTTTTGCTTGTCCCCCCCCCCCCCCCACATCTGATTATCATGGTTGGATACGTACGGTGCGAAGGAAGTTCCACATACATACATAACACCTCATATCAAACATTTGAATAGCCTACGACGTTTCGATTGCAACACAAGCAATCATCATCAGGTATAAATGAAATAGCAATAACAAATTCTAACCAGAAAAACTATATCACCAAGATATCTGTCTGCTTATATGTCTGTCTATAGTTTTTCTGGTTAGAATTTTTCGTTGCTATTTCATTTATACCTGATGATGATTGCTTGTGTTGCAATCGAAACGTCGTATGCTATTATTTAATTTATTATTTTATCTTTATACGTCACTTTACCGAAAGAACCAAGAGTAATTCCTGCACTCACGAAAGCTCCAAAATTAAAATTAAGATTTGAATAGCCACCAAGCACCGACCTGCATGCGAACATTGGTCTGCCGGTAGGGGTCAATTAGTGCTTCGTGAAATCCCAGTTGAATATTTTCAGTATCAAGATGGCAAATTTGGACTGTGACACCGGCACACGATGTTCTACTAATTTCAAATTGTCACGAGATTGTGAACATCCGCGATGAAGTGGGTGGCATGTGTTGCTCGGGTAATATGCCACAGTATTAACCACAATTACTGGCCTTTTTGAAATCGAAAACCTCTGCAATGCATGATGAATGTGCTAACAATTGGGCTGTGTCACTGCCATAATAACGATTGTTTGAAAATGTGTAATTAGATATCTTTAGGGAGCAATCACAACCGTTTGCTGCGTCAAATATGTCTTGGTGCTCTCTGACTCAGATCACGCACTCTCGAAAATATTTTTCAAATGTGAAATACTTTTGCCGATTTTGGCACGTGGCTCATCCTTTCATTACATTGGCTCTTGAGGTTTACGTGAAATGGCAGTGTGTCATGAACGAAAACAATCAATTTTATGACAATGATAAAACAGACATTTGAATTCAGCTCACTGTCAAAATGTGTCCCTAGCGAGCAATCAATCAACCAATGCATTAAACATTTTCACTCCACTCTCCAGATTAGGTCATGTACTCTGAAAATACAAACTTGCATATTTGAAAGGGGAAATTGTTTCCAGATGTTTTGTGCTACTCTAGTTTATCGAATGATAAGGAAAATTAGAAAGGTCAGCTTGTGTCTGTTTCTCCCAGTTTTATCCTGTCTGTACTATCAGCGTCAAGAGACAAATAACACAGGTCAACAAAAAAAAAACATTTTTTTCTGGCCTGGACTTTTGCAGCTGTTCTAGACTAATTTCAGGGTGCTGATTTCAAATCTGAACTCAGATTTGCTCTATCACATCTCATTTTTATGCTATCGGCATACCCCATTTTCATTGATTTTACCTGAAATTAACTCTGTCACTTCTGATTGCAAGTTGTTGCGAGTCAGTGACTGCTTTAGTGTTAAAATATGGTGCTGTATTTTTAGGATAGTGTGTTTATAATATCATTTTATGTAGATATCCACATTTTCTTGGTTCTTTCGGTAAAATCACGTAGAAGGGAAGTAATAAAATAATAAAAATAAAACATAATGAATTCAGACGCTGTCGCCTCGACAGACCTGGTTTTCACATGAGGACGGCTACTTGCGTTGTGGCCGAAACGTCGTGAGAATTATTTATTATGTTTTATTTTTATTATTTTATTACTTCCCTTCTACGTGACTTCACCGAAAGAACCAAGAAGATGAATCCCTGCAGTCACGAAATCTTTAAATCAAAAATTTAATATCCACATTTATTTAATATTTTTCTTCTGCAGTTTTGATTGAAAATGCAATATTTGATATCTTAAAAACCTGATGTGATAGACAAAAACTGATGCCAGATTTGGAATCAGCACCCCAAAGTTACCTTAAAACCGTCGGAATACCTTATGCCAGAAAAAGTGTGTTGACCAGTGTAATCTATTCGCAAATCTTTCAGAGGGTTGCTAAACTTTTGTGTTGGAAAATGGCCCGCGGAATGGGATATCACTGAGCTACCTCTAAGATCTCTTCTTAATGTTACCCTCACACAGACACAGCAGAGGGGAGCATTATCCCCACCCGCTCTGCATGTCAGAGTAACGTACAACGCATGACATCCCAGTATTTTAATTCTCAGAGCTGAAACTTTGCCACGTTTGAGTGCAGAGCCACATAAAGTGCCGTTGTAGTGGCTGGCCATGTTACGGTGATGAAGAAGTTGTCACTATAACGAATGTGATTAGTTGACTGGACTTGAAAACTCGGTTTCATCACGGGCAAGTGAAACCGAGATTTGAACCCAACATCTCAGCGGTGTCAAGCTCAAAGCTCTCACCTCTGAACAACCCGGTCATTTTACTATCCACTTATCTTTTTCCGTAATCAAATGAGATAAGCAAAACACATCAACTGACTTTCCGATAATTGATTTGTTTTGTCCCAAAACTTGTGATGGCGAAAGTCGCAAAAAGGCATCGATTCTGCCGCCACTCTCACCGTTCAGAGTCACGACCTCCCACAGCTCGTCGGTGCCGGGAGGCTTGTTGACCAATTGAAAGTAGAAGGGGGCCCCATGAGCAGGCGAGTCATCATCGGTGGCCATGAGTGGAAGACCCTCAGAAGGCCTGGCCAGGCAGAGGTGTGGCGTTGAGGCCCCTGTTGCAAACAAAGGCCCCGCCAGCTTGGGAGCATGGTCGTTGACGTCCACAATGTTCAGAACCACCGTTCCTGTGCAGGTGAAGTCCGGGCGACCTGAAGCAATCAAAGTTATCTTCGTCAGCTTTGGTCTATCCACTTTTGAAAGAAGGTGTTTCCCAAACTGTCAACAGCTCTCATGATCACGTGATGCAACGATACATTCAGCACCTGCACTGATCACGTCTCTCTCCAACTCCTTTCTGATGCGTTCCATTCCTTGGCTGTCACTCCTTTACACTATGAAACCTCCTTTACCAGTGGCAAAATATAGTGATAGGTTTTTACCCTTTCAACTGGTATGCCTTTTGGCGTCATCTGGTCCAACACCAATGGAGACTAGGCTCTAAGAAAAGCTGTCTCGGGTGTGGATCAATCGACTTCAAGGACAGTGCATATCATTATCATCATCAGAGTTGTTGCAAGTCAAACAACAACAACAACAACCACAAGACAACTTAGATTAAGGCCATCAGTCTAACTCCGTACTACAACAAACAAACATGGCTAAACCAATACACTTTTCGAAATCACCAAAATAAAGCCATGTAAGCAATGAAACAGTGATTATAGGAACTGTGACGGAATTTTTACAATAAATGTACTACCAAAACCCTGCAGTCATAGCTGGCTGCATGAGTCACTCCACAACAGCAGGAGCATCAATCGGAGTATTATAATTTTTCAATGCACCTTTAGGATCAGCACACTAAATCAAAACACAGGTCATACTTTGCAGCGATCATCCGAAGCAAAACATCTTATTTTAGGCCACTGAATAGCACTGCCAGCTAGGGGTGTACAACTCCTCTAGAGCAGTTTTGAGTCGACTAGTAGCCACAGCCACAGCTAGAAGAAAACTAGATGTGGTGTGCTGGGTGTGCATATCTTTCCCTGGCTGGAATTAAGCCCTGGGCGATATGATGTGTCGCTTTCGATGGAGGCCAATGTTGGCTTTTGGATATTTGATGACCAAAATCACCCTGATTGAGCCAGCTCGCACCAGATCTCGGCAGCTAAAGCAGAGTCGTGCTGCCTTGCGTAGCCCTGGGATGAGTGAGCACCTGCATCGATGGCAATGACGGTCACGTTGTACTTCCCATTGCGGATGTACTCGGGGTCTTCATAGTCCACGTCCCCAGCCAAGCTAAGTGCTCCTGTGCTTGGGTCAATCGCCAGCCAGCCCGCCTTGTCTGACACGATCTTGTAGCTGTGGACAACCGGTCCACTCAGAGTTAACATCAGGATGCATAGACACAGCTCTAGGTCTTGAACCCATACACTCACCCTTACCACCTGCTAACCATCCCTGATACGGCAATTATGAACCCCCATGAGAAATGGAGAAAACCAAGCCCCAAGGGTTGAATGACAATTTTATAAATTTCGATTTAAAGCTTTCGTGACTGCAGGGATTCATCTTCTTGGTTCTTTCAGTAAAGTCACGTAGAAGGGAAATAATAAAATAATAAAAATAAAACATAATAAAATACAATTCTCACGACGTCTCGGCTACAACGCAAGCAGCCGTCCTCAGGTGAAGAACAGGTCTGTCGGAAAGACAACGTCTGAATAAGCACCACCGAAAGAACCAAGAAGATAATTTTATATATATAGCTGAACCACCTTTGGGCAGGGCCATCTCAGAGCGGTTTAGACATGATAAGTGACTTACATCTCATCTCAACACAGTGGCAGCTGTTCATGCAGGGCACAAGGTGACTCAGAACCTAGCCTGCAAGCGGGCATTGGTGTTTCCAGTAGTGGGCATTGATTGTCACGTGTATTCCCATTGAGTCATTTGCCGCGTGCCATATTTGGGCCCTGACACCGGCACACCAGTGGCCAACTCGATTTGAATGACATGGGGTCGGTCTGTAACATCGGCTATAAAGCAAATGGGTGTGCGGTATCTTACGCTTGATACATACACGCCGTCACCTGTTACTGGGCATCAGTGAAACAGAGCTTCATAGCTCATCGCAGCTTCCTCCAGGATTTTTTTCAATTCTGATTATGGACTTCTCACCATCCCTGACATGGCTATTACGAGCCTCCCCCACCCCCCAGCTAGACCTCGGCAAGGTAAGGTAATTTACCGGGTAAAAGGGTAAAGGTAAAGGTGTCGACATGCCAAGGGGTAAGGGTAAAGGGTAGGGTAAAGGTAGGCTCGTTGCTTTTAACCTTTTACCTTACCTGCTAAAGGGTAAAATGTAGGGTAGAGTGATTGTATTGTGGTAAGGTAAAAAGGTAGGGTAAAAGGTGGGCTCGTTATTGTTTTTACACTTTTACCTTACCTTGCCGAGGCCTACCCCCAGCGCGACTTTATGCTCACGTGAAGTTGTGCGTTGTCCCAGTGTCGGGGTCCTGCGCGGAGAAGACCCCGAGCGGCGATCCCAGCGGCGACCCCTCGACGCACTCCACCATGCGCACCGACGGAATGAAAGCCGCGTCCTCGTTGACGTCCGTGACGCGCACGAGCACCGTGGCAGACGACGACAACGATGCGACCGCGCCGGGAAGGAGCTTCTCCTCGTTGGCCACCGTCACCACGAGAGGAACCGTCTTGTCAGCCGTTGTTATCGCTTCAAAGTTCAGTGGCTGCGGTGGTGAGAAATGCGGGCGGCGTTGAATCGAACAGCTAGGGTCAGCTCGTGCATCTCCGTGGCCTGGAACTCGTGGACCCCCAACTGTCCATGCTGTTGTGCTCCCTTGCCCTCTATCGTCTTTCCGCCAGAGGTCGCAAACGGGTTTCGATTCCTTACCCGTACCCGTACCCGGCCGCACCAGGGTCGCAAATGGGTACCCGTACCCGTACCCGGCCGGGTATGGGTACCCGTACGCTAGCCGTACCCTACCCGAAATGAGTGACAAACGGTTACTCACCGGTGACTCACGGCCTACCCGTACCCGTACCCGGCCGCACCAGGGTCGCAAACGGGTACCCGGCTACCCGTACCCAGCCGGGTACGGATAGCCGGGTATCGGGTAGGGTACGGGTATCGGATACCCGGTTGCAACCTCTGCTTTCCGCCCTTCTGCCCAACTGTTCAAGTCTCAGCTCAAGGACGTTTCTGTTTTTGATTCACTATAGTTTTTGTTGGTTGGACTGTATCGTGATCTGGCTAAAGTGATGTTGTGAAACCCTCCGCCACCGACACAGTAGCGGATCTAAACGGGGCCGTTGACCTCTCCCCCCCCCCCGCCCCCATGCTCCCTGCCCCCCTATCCCAATGATATATATTTTTATTTAACACGGAGGCTTTCGCGACCAATATTATTCATAATCAAGGTTTTTGGGTCAGATCACGTTATTTATAAATGTGTCGTAACCTTCCACCACCCGACACGACCAAATTCTTGCCCGATGAAGCTGATTGTAATTATCAGCGCAAACGTCGTACTACTCAAATAAAAAATGATGTTGATTCTCTCGTCAGCACACCGGTGGGCTAAAGAAGTGAATCATTTTGTCCTTTGAAAAACGTGACACATTTTTTACTATTTGGCCGTGTCGGGTGGTGGAGGGTTACGACACATTTATAAATAACGCGATTTGACCCAAAAACCTTGATTATTGGCCAGACTCTACATCAACCCGTAATTCAACACAGCCAAACAAATTACATTTGTCTGTTTCAGCTCACACCTGTGAGTCGAATGACAACTTTCACAACCAAATTTAGCGGCAATTAGACATGAATTTAGCTTCAAAATATTCAGGAAGTCTTTTTCTTTGCATTACTGGTGTAACCCCGATATGTATTCGATTAATAATGATCCGTTATAATGTTCATTGTAATTAAACAGCTTTTTAGGTTACGTCTCGTTTGACTCCCGAGTGGCGATGTCTACACCACCACACCAAAGTCCTCATTTGAGGCTGAGTCGACCTCGGGGAGACCCAAGACCGGTTCAGATAATCGTCACTGTGTGTTGGTACCCATGCAGCGATGATTGAACTCGGCTCGCCAGGTTGCTTTTCGTAGCGCGCTAACCGCTGCACCACCGCTCCCACTGCACACACACATTGACCACACAAACCTTGACGACGGACAATACGCCCTGGTTGGTCTTGGCATCGGTGGCAATGGCGAAGTGCCCCTCTTCGTTGCCGCTAGTGACGGTGTAGACGGCTCGCCACGCGGGCAAGCCCGGAGCGTCCGCATCTCGAATGTCCAGCAAGACCGCCTGCGTCACCAGCTCGTTCTCCCGCACCGTCCCCTCGTACTGCACAGCGAGGAGAGGCCGGGAGAGAGGGAGGGGGGTGGGGAAAGTTTGAGCCTCCTCTGTGATGGGCTCTGCTTACAATCGCCAATTTCATCCCGATTGTGCTGTCAGCATCAGTTTAACACGTAGGCTTTCGTGACCAATATTATTCATAATCAACGTTTTTGGGTTTAGATCGCGTTATTTATAAATGTGTCGTAACCCTCCACCACCCGACACGGCCAATCAGTAAAAAAGTGTCACGTTGACAATCGACAAATGAGTTGATGAGTTAATGATGACGTCACCCTGCTGCTGCTCTATATAAGAACGGGAGACAGAGCAGAGCCTCACCATTCTGGCGAATTGCCCGATGATGCTGGATGCAATTACCAGCGAACTCAAAAATTGTAAATGTTGTGGTTTCACGCTTCAACACACCGGTGGGCTAAAGCAGTGAACTATTTATCTTTTGTCAACGTGACACTTTTTTACTGATTGGCCGTGTCGGGTGGTGGAGGGTTACGACACATTCATAAATAACGCGAACTAAACCCAAAAACGTTGATTATGTCAGCATCATCATTGTCGCGAGACAAAGGACGCATTCGGATATCTCGGAGAGCAAAGCGATCCTTCCGTTTTGCAGAGCGGCCCACAGACGTGCAATATCCCTTCGAGTAACTTCTGGTTCACACACAGTGGAGGGCAGCACTTTCCCAATTGCTCGGGATGCATGGTTCAAGTTAATTTTGTTTTAACCAGGCGAGAAATCCAAAGAGGCCAGGATAGTCTAATTTGCAAGAAAGTGAGATAATGAGAGTGACGTTCATCGTTTGACAGTCAAATAAATATTATAATTGTTAAAATTATGAACAAAAAATTAAAATATTTTTTTATTTTACCAGGTAAAGCCTACTGAGCTATATAGCTCTTTTTTAGAAGCGACCATGCAACAAATGATAGTTCAACGAAGTGGCTTAACACGTGGAAATTTAAAGCAGCCAAATACTAAATGTGGAAGGGAAAACCAGAAGACCCGGAGAAAAATCCACGCAACTACCAGGAGAACATGCAAGACTCTTCATATACAACGAGCGTCAGGGTCAGGATCCCACGACCACTTGTCTATTAGGCGATGTAGTTAACATCGCGCTACCATGTTCGGCATGTTGATGATACTGATACTATTGTAGAGGAATTCCCACGGACGCACTCGGAAAAGGAGGTAAGTTAAGGGCTTTAGCCAGGGTTTATTAAAGGTTATCAATAATACACAGGGTACACAACTCCCAGGGGCTAGGGGTCCTACTCTGAGTCCGGGTCCCTGCCGGCTCGCTCCGGTCTCTCTCTCTCGTGTCGGATCGTGAACTCTGCCGACTCCACCGAGCGGAGAGAGAAGCACCTCTACGGCTACCACCGGCTTCTCCCTAGACTCCCTATTCGATCCCTCTCTCTACCCCTAGTTCCCTCTTCACCCTGCTTACTCTACCCGTTCCCACAGTGACCCCGCTAACGTCATGAGGTATCCCTTAAGTACCCCAGGAGACGTGACGTCATCGCACTGAACGGCACACCTGACGTCACGTCCCCATTTTACTCCTCTACACTATTGCTGTGGCTGCCGATGATCGCTGTGCGACACTGGGAATTGTGTGCGCGCGAGACAAGACCTTGGGGGAGGTGAACTCTGGGGGGCTGTCGTTTGTGTCCCCCACGATGATGGTCACAGTGGTCGTGTTGCTGAGCCCTATGGGGGAGCCGTTGCAGTCACTGGCGTTCACTTCCAGCAGGAACTGACTCACGGCCTGCACACACGCACACACGCACGTATCATCGTCAACATAGGCGACGGTCACTCCATTGCTAAATGAATGCTTCCACAGGCCACCATCAACTGTCTGCGTACAAACCAATGTCGTCATCCTCTTCTTGGTTCTTTCGGTAAAGTCACGTAGAAGGGAAGTAATAAAATAATACAAATAAAAAATAATAAAACAATTCTCGCGACGTTTCAGCCACAACGCAAGCAGCCGTCCTCAGGTGAAAACCAGGTCTGTCAAGGCGACAGCGTCTGAATGAAACAGCACACGTGCTTGGAGCATATATATAAGCTGGGTTGGAAGGGGGGAAAAGGGCGCCTTGACAAAAGAATATGCATATCAAGAGGAATTTAGCATATTTATGGGAAATGCAGGTATGTGATTAGTACTACTTATGCCCATGCATTATGCAGGATTAGCAGCATCAAAGGGAGGGGATATGGGATATCGTCATCCTATCTCGCATACAAAGACCGCCTTTATGACCGTGTAGTGACTCTGAATGTCACTGTGTGGTGCCGGCCTTGCGAGGCCACGGCGGATAATCTGTTGTCATTATGTGCAGCCCGGTTACTGGGTGTAGTACCAGCCCTAGCGGGGCTTGGTTGTGCGCTGGTTAGCGCAGAGGCACCACGTACGGTGTGCGGTGCGGGCTCCCGGTGAGGGAGCGAGAGAAAGTGTCAGCCAGCCAGCGTTACGTTGGGGCACGATACGCTGGTTGACCTGCCAACACGTGACCGGATGATATTGGAGGGGGGCCACCGGTGGACGGGGGCTGCTGGGTGGTCACGTGGTATAGAGGAGCTCTCGGGAGCCTTCGGGAAAGAGCTCAGGAGATCTAGAAGGTGGGCGGGGCGAGGGGCGGAGCCAGCCCCAGCCCGGGCCGATATAACGGGGGCCCCGTGAGGGGCTCGGGGTTCTTCGTGTTGCTGGTGATGATGATCCACGTCGGGTTGAAGAAGCCTCTAGCCACGCGGACCGTGTCTAGTTCTGCCGTAGCGTGGTTAGATGGGCGTTCAACACCCGAGTGTAGGTTACGTTATGTTGTGTTGAGTTGATATAAGAAATAGTGTTGCTCCCAAGACAACGTCTGTGACTCAGTTGGACTCACTACAACCGTATCAGATGGGTTGGGGCAAGTGCTGTCCGTGAGCACCTATTCAGGCGGCCGGCATGGCGTGCTAACACTTTTTCCCTCCTCCCAGACAGACTAAAAACAACCTGGATCCATCCAAGATCTAAACACTGACGTCTGATTGATTACACTGGTCAACACACTTTTTCTGGCATAAGGTATTCCAACGGGTTTTGAAGGTAGTTTTGGGGTGCCGATTGCAAATCTGGCATCAGTTTTTGTCTATCACATCAGGTTTTTGAGATATCAAATATTGCATTTTCAATAAAAACTTCAGAAGAAAAATATTAAATAAATGTGGATATCTACATAAAATGATATTATAAACACACTATCCTAAAAAATACAGCACCATATTTTAACACTAAAGCAGTCACTGACTTGCAACAACTTGCAATCGTAAGTGACAGAGTTAATTTTGGGTAAAATCAATGAAAAGGGGGTATGCCGATAGCTTAAAAATTAGTCTAAAACAGCTGCAAAAGTCCAGGCCAGAAAAAAATGTTTTTTTTTGTTGACCAGTGCTATGTGATTCCTCAGGCAGAGAGATGTTACGGAGGTCCTTGTCACCAGGGTGTTGCATGCAGTTGAGGTGGACACAGTGTTCTGGTACACACAAGGGCTCTCCCTTTCGATCCATCCTGAAAATCAAGAGGTCAATGTCAAACCTCCCAAAGAAACTCAACATTACCAAACTGGACCAAACTTGAAGAGACAATTACCCAGTTCCAGGAAGCCCTGACAGCAACACGAGGGAAGCATATTTCTGAGCATTCCTCCTTAAATATGGAGGGTGGATATTCGCAGTTCCTCAGGGACAAAGTTCAGGAGGTGTCTGTGAGGTTTACTTGCAGAGCCGTCCGTAGGGGAGGTGCGGGGCCGGGGCAAATCCCACCATATGGGCCTCCTGACACACCTTCAAACTAAAGTATTACATCTGACACCGTGAGGTTGAAGCGCCAGGGCCCAGGGTGGTCGCCCCGATTCGCTGTGCCCTATGGACGGCTTTGGGTACCTGAGATCACCGGATGCAAGTGCCCACACTGGTTTTGACCAGAATAATACCACCATTGACAGATTGCACGAGGTATACAATGGCTGCACGTGCCCACAACTCTTGCAGCGTGAGAAATGTAAAAAATGTTGGTGCGACGAAATTGTCCGCAGCTAGATTTTAAGGAACAGAAACGCTTCTAAGAGTGCCATGATTGGAATATATGGTCCATCGGTGAATGGAACAGCTTTCCTTAGGTTTAGCAGATGGGTCATATCTTGGCACAGACATCATCAAGACCCTCGATCACCGGAGGATTGTTGGCTGGAATTCAGAAGGTCTTGGAGCATTACGTTGGTGACGGTCGAGGTAGTAACAATGATGATGGTGTAGGTGGTGACGATGGTGGTGGTGGTGGAGGTGGATTCACCTCTGTCCAGCACGATCAGTGTTGTGATGGTGCTAGTATTGGTGACGACGGAGATTGTAATCACATTATGCTGGCGATGATGGTGGAAGTAGTGACGATGGTGACCGTGACCTCACCTCTCTGTCCAGTTTTATCAGGGTAGTGATGGTGCCACTGCTCCTGTCGATGGTGAACGCTTTGGGTAAGGGTGGCTTCTGGGAGATGATGGTGTACATGATGATGACGTGGTCTGTAGCTGGATCATCTCCATCTGTCGCCTCTATATTTATTACGGTCGTGCCTGAACAGAAACAAAAGAAAATTCCGTGTTTGCGTCGTAGCGAACTAAATTCATAATGTCGGTAAACAACTCTAGCCATCAATTGATCATTTATTATCACAATGTAACACCAACAATCTCTTCAATCAACCTGTAGCACACATTCCTTACACAGATAGTCCCCGAGTTACGATGGTCCGACTTACGATATTTCGATCTTACGATGCGATAGCTGTCTTTCCGACAGACCTGTTCCTCACCTGAGGATGGCTGCTTGCGTTGTGGCCGAAACGTCGTGAGAATTATATTATTTTATTATGCTTTATTTTTATTATTTTATTATTTCCCTTCTACGTGACTTTACCGAAAGAACCAAGAAGACGTTACAAATTCTTCCGGCTTTAAAAAAAATAAAAAAGGTGCATGTATACAAATAACACATCGTTATTATTATCGCTGCACTGCACAGTTGAGGCAGTGACATGGCCCAGCAGTAGGCTGTTTTCTACTTGTTGCAGAGGTTTACGATTAAGATACAGCCAGACATGCTGGTTATTACTGCGGGTGTATCAACTATATATATATTTTTTAAATCACAGTGGATCTTCAAACATCCCCTGCCATAATTTGAAACCAGTTGGCCATTTTATAACAGCATTATGGTGGTTCAAATTTGCCAATTTAAAGAAAATATATACCGCATATTGCTCAGGAGGGATTACACACAAAGCAGCAATTATCACCCCATAAAATGCTTCAAGTGAGATGTAATGCAAGTCACTTGTCATATACACCATTCTACACAACAAAGACTCATTCCTGGCAGCGATTTCAGCTGCACCACCTCTACATAACAAAAGGCTCAGTCCCATTTACACGCACCTTTATATCATCCGCACCTAGTTTACACAACAAAGGCTCATTCCTAGCAGCGTGCTTCAGCCGCACCGAGCCTCACAAAAATAATATCCAGGGCCTACCTTGGCTCCTCCCACCCTCAACCAGTATATATACAAATACTGTGTTCTTGGAATTTCTCTCACTTGATACAGCTATCGTGCTGTGACGGGTCCACCTGAAGACGGAAGCTTGTGTTGCCTCCGAAACGTCGTGAATTTTATTTTATTTTTATCTAACTTTTATTAATTTAAAATTTTTACCTACGTGACTTTACCGAAAAAACCTAACAATATGAATCCTTGCAGTCACGAAAGCTTCAAATCTAGACCGTAAAGTAGTCTAAGAAACACGAAGGAGGGCAGCTCTTATATAAAAAAAAAATTATTCTCGTTTTCGTTTAATACGCTCACCGGCTGGTTGGTTCTCCAGCACCGTTCCCGTGAAGTTTTTCTCCACGAACTGCGGAGTCTCGTCATTGACGTCGGTCACCAGCACCGTCATCGTGGCAGGATTTTCGACTTCGTGGCCCTGTTCGTCGTACGCGTGCACAAACATCTGCGGGAGCAATGAGTTCCGGCGTGAGCACCGTATTCGCTCCCACGGCTACAGACTCACGGTGGATGCTGCCACTGGGCTTGGTGGGCACGATCCCCGTGGCTACAATCATCTTTCTTCACCACCCGATGTCACCTCCTCCATACTCCACCATCCCTCCTCTCCTCTCCATCTCTGCCCTCCTCCACCCATCCTCAGCACAAGATAGCTCAGCACCAGGTCTGCCAGTAGGGGGCAATGATGACTATGTGTAATTATAACACTGGTCAACAAAAAAAAAACATTTTTTTGAGGCCTGGACTTTTGCAGCTGTTTTAGACTAATTTCAGGGCGCTGATTCCAAATCTGATCTCAGATTTGCTCTATCACATCTCATTTTTATGCTATCGGCATACCCCATTTTCATTGATTTTACCCGAAATTAACTCTGTCACTTATGATTGCAAGTTGTTGCGAGTCAGTGACTGCTTTAGTGTTAAAATATGGTGCTGTATTTTTAGGATAGTGTGTTTATAATATCATTTTATGCAGATATCCACATTCATTTAATATTTTTCTTCTGCAGTTTTTATTGAAAATGCAATATTTGATATCTCAAACACCTGATGTGATAGACAAAAACTGATGCCAGATTTGGAATCGGCACCCCAAAATTACCTGAAAACCGTTGGAATACCTTATGCCAGAAAAAGTGTGTTGACCAGTGTAATTGAATGCAGTGAACCGTCTATCACCGCGAGAGGAGATGCAGGTGTTTGATAACAATGCACAGTGATCATTTTAGCGCTGGCTGCCACACTTTGCCTGATTGCATTCGCCTTATTTTTTAATAGACCTCAGTGGACTCGATAATTGTTTTTTTACCCTTCTATCTGGTAACAAAACTGACACCTTTTTACAAGGAGTCATGTTTGCATAGACCACAATACCTGCAGTCATAATGCAAACAAAAAACACAACTCTGATAATGTGCACTGTCCTTGAAGTTGATTGGTCCACACCCGAGACAGCTTTCCTTAGAGCCTAGTCTCACATGGGTTGGACCAGATGACGCCAAAAGGCTGTCTCGGGTGTGGACCAATCAACTTCAAGGACAGTGCATACATTATCAGAGTTGTGTTTTTTGTTTGCATTATGACTGCAGGTATTGTGGTCTATGCAAACATGACTCCTTGTAAAAAGGTGTCAGTTTTGTTGCCAGATAAAAGGGTAAAAAAACTAATTGTCAGTGGACTCGTTTATACCAAAATGTCAGCCTACCGCAGACGCAATCTCACGGGCGGGATTACTGCGAGACTGACAACAACATGGGCAGCCAAGGGGGGGGGGGGGGGGGGCCGAATCATTGCAGATAATTTTCGATTTAAAGCTTTCGTGACTGCAGGGATTCATCTTCTTGGTTCTTTCGGTAAAGTCACGTAGAATGGAAATAATAAAATAATACAAATAAAACATAATAAAATAATTCTCACGACGTTTCGGCCACAACGCAAGCAGACGTCCTCAGGTGATGAACAGGTCTGTCGGAAAGACAGCGTCTGAATGAACACCACCACGGAAAGACAGCGTCTGAATGAACACCACCAAGCTTGGTGGTGTTCATTCAGACGCTGTCTTTCCGACAGACCTGTTCTTCACCTAAGGACGGCTGTTTTTCGTTGTGGCCGAAACGTCGTGAGAATTATTTTATCATGTTTAATTTGTATTATTGTATTATTTCCCTTCTACGTGACTTTACCGAAAGAACCAAGAAGACATCGCAGACAATTTAAAATGGAACAACATTCTGCGCGCACCTTCCCGCTGTCTTGCCTCACGGCAGATGGGGAGCGTACGTTAACAGGAAGTTCCTGTTTTTTGATGCTAATGTTGGTCACGTGACCAGGAAGGGACGATGTTAGATTTCCACTGTACCACGCGGGCTTCAGCCATTACTCAGATAAGTCAAGATGGCGGCACGCATCGCATCTCAGTGAGACCACAGCCGCACTTATCCATTGTGGGAGCTTAAGAAGCAATATCTGTAAGTTGTTTATATTCCTCTAATATTGGAAATGCTGTTGTAATGTTGGAATGACCGTTATAGCAATGTAAATGCCTTTATGGTGCCGTTAAGTTGTTGTAGTAAATACGAGGCCTAGTTAGTAACGAAGCCTGTGACTTTCCTTATTGTGGATGTTACTTGTGATTTAGTAGGTCGAGTCAGACTTGTGCCTATGTTGCGATCCTGAGAGTAAAGATGACGAAGTATCTCATCCACAGTTTAGTGTTAAGTGTAATGCTGTACATTTGGGGTGCAGTGGGATGAATACACTGTGCCTGTATGCAACGCATCAGCTTGTGCCTTTGTCTAGTTGTTCAGGGGTAATGTGGGGGCCTGGTCCTTCCAGGATCTATTGTTATCTGAGACAATGTTCTGATGCTGTGGTGTTCATTGTGTGGGTGTTTCCGAATTATAACAGATGCTGTATCTGTGTTTTCTCACCAGTTTTACCTGTTACAATCAATAAATGACGATCGGAGTTGGACGGTCATCCTGGCTTCGAGGGTTTATTGAACACATGGTTGTCTACTCGACTAGCGGTGCAACGCAGCGCACAGCGAGGCCGAGATACCCGCTGTCGGTAGTCTGGCACGTTGTACGCTCGCGAATACTGGAGTCCAGCAGGTCGCGAATAAGGAACTCGTATACGCTTAGTAACTCGCGAATATGCGAAACTCGCGAATCTAGAGCTCGCACACCGTGAGGGTTTGCTGTAATTTGCAGCGTATTTTCTTCTTTTTCTTCGAATTCGACGCTGGCATTTAATGCCCCACTCATTTCCGATGGCATTGCGGGAACGCTTAGTGTTCAATCTTGAGTGAAGTGGACTGCGTGTAGCATTTCACGGTTAATACAAACCGAGGTATTAACTGGGACTTCCTTACGGAGTCAAACCGCAATCCTCTACAACAAGCAGGCATTGGGGCCTTCCTGCCGCCCCGCTGCTTGACAGCTCTAATGCCGAGGGAGCGACAATACTTTTTGAAGGCCCGTGATTTCACGCATCGTACTTGGTAAACTTTCAGCGTCTCGCGATCCACAGCTTCCTTCACGTATATCCGTCCATGGTCGTCCAGGTAGAACAGCCCCACGGGATCCTCATCCGCGCCGGGGCCCGTGAGCTTGTACATGTGAGCCTTCATTTTGTCCGATGTGTACTGCGGACACGCGCGCGTGTACGCAAATAAATAGCCAGTGGCGGTCCACTACGGTTGCTACCTCTGATGTGTATATATATATAGTGATTTTAAAAATGGAGATATCAGGCAAAGAAGAATGTCTCGTCTTCTTGGTTCTTTCGGTAAAGTCACGTAGAATGGAAATTATAAAATAATAAAAATAATTATTAAAACATAATAAAATAATTATTATAAAGTAATTATTTAATTATGTTTTATTTTTATTATTTTATTGTTTCCATTCTACGTGACTTTACCGAAAGAACCACTAATTCCATATCTGCATTTCTCATAAACAATTATTAAAACATAATAAAATAATTTAAACATAATAAAATAACTATTTTTCTATGTTTTATTCTTATTATTTTATTGTTTCCATTCTACGTGACTTTACCGAAAGAACCAAGAAGATGAATCCCTGCAGTCACGAAAGCTTTAAATCGAAAGAATATCTCGCATGATGATGAGAGGGGAGGACAGCATGCGTGTGCATTGTCTCGAACGAGTGGAGAATTATTTTTACTATGTGGGACCTTTAACATTCCTGGGAAGACTGAAAAAAATCCCAGACACATCCCAGGACATGGGTTGGACCAGATGACGCAAAAAGGCGCACAACTCAAAGACATCTGGTCCAACCCATGTGAGACTAGGCTCTAAGGAAAGCTGTCTCGGGTGTGAACCAATCAACTTCAAGGACAGTGCATACATTATCAGAGTTATGTTTTTTGTTTGCATTATGACTGCAGGTATTGTGGTCTATGCAAACATGACTCCTCGTAATAAAAAAAGGTGTCAGTTTTGTTGCCAGATAGAAGGGTAAAAAAACAATTATCATATTTTTTACTGGAAAATGAGGTTCCAATGGTGAAGGTCTGACTTCGTTTGTAATAAGGTCGGCACTGATAGGTTTGTTTATGCTGGAGGAATCCGATGACCTGTAAAGTGCCAGATGTCCAGTAGGGGCAGGCTAGAAGGTTACAACAACAAATAATACAAAATACACAATAGGAGCGCAAAGCATTGAAAAGGTAAGCAAATCGCAAAAAATACAAAACACTAAATTGTTATATTATTGGTTCTTTCGGTAAAGTCACGTAGAAGGGAAATAATAAAAATATAAAACAATCATATTTTATTATTTCCCTTCTACGTGACTTTATCGAAAGAACCAAGAATATGAATTCCTGCAGTCACGAAAGCTTTAAATCAAAACGAAATTGTTACTTTTTATTTTACCAGGTAAAACCCACTGAGCAATTCGCTTATTTTTCAGAAGCGACCTGGCCACAAAGCATAGCTCAGCGAGGTGGAAAGTAAATATAAATAATCTCAACGCATGTCTCTACATGCGGAAAGGAAAAACAAAACCAGAGGACCCGTAGAAAAAAAGCCCACAACGCCACGGGGAGAGAGACACGCAAACTCCAAATATACAAGAGGCCTCAGGGTTGGGGTCGAACCCCCGACCATCCTGCACACCAGGCGAGGGAGATAACATCTCTCCACCTTCGTGGCTCACAATTTGGGACCACGATTAGGCAGCGGCTCAGCTATCGAGTACACGGGCGGCGCAATCGGTACCGGCCCGGAGCGGCCTAGGCGCCAGAGGTCGCAACCGGGTACCCGATACCCGTACCCTACCCGATACACGGCTACCCGTACCCAGCCGGGTACGGGTACCCGTTTGCGACCCTGGTGCGGCCGGGTACGGGTAAGGAATCAAAACCCGTTTGCGACCTCTGCTAGGCGCAGATCTCCGAATAGTGGCAGGGGAATTGGACATGGGGACCCAGTTTCGTTCCTTCCTCGCATCAGGGCCTGTACCCACCGCGCTAGGCCGCTGTGTGCGTGCGTTACCATGGTGACGAAGGCCGGGTAGGGGCCGGGATCGTTCTCGTTGACGTAAGGTTTTGGAACTGTCCACTCTCGACGAACGCGGCTCGGGCACCGAGACGACACCGCACCATCCTGAGGACAAATGTGGGGAGCGAGGAAGGACAAACACAGAGAGAGACGGACGCACGGATGGATGGAAAGATGGAAAAGCAGGCAAAGTGAATGGTAAAAAAGTGATAGAAAGTGTTACGGATCGGTAGAGAGAGAGACGGGCAGACAGAGAGGCATAACGACAGTCAGACGTAGTGCTAGATGTGACATATAGGAAGGTAGAGTGATGGGTGGACGGGTAGAGTGACAGAGATAGTGACTGGCAGACGCAGTTATAGCCAGTGAAGAAGACATGAACAGACGCAAAGATGGCCATAGAGATAGCGTGGCAGGCAGACGGGTCGCCAGGCTAACAAATGCACAGATGCGAAGACAGGAAGGGAGAGTGGCAGTAACAAACGTAAGGCAGGCAGACAAAGCTGCTAGATAATTTAGACAGCATCTAAGTCAGGTACTCAGTGAGTGAACAAGGTGACCTCAAATACTCCTTCAATGTCTTGTAATAATAAAAAAATTATCAGGAAAGGTAGCTCCGCAGGAATGTGGAATTTCCATCACTGGCCCTGGGGGGCTGTGCATGGGAGATGACCCCCCCCCCCCACCAAATTCCTGTTCATTTGAGCGAGGAAATTACTTGGACTTTTTTCTTTTTAGATTCAAGATAGCAAACTAACCTGCTTCCCTTCTTCCCTTAAAACCACCTCTTCTCCCCTTGCCCATCCTGTTTCTGCTACTCCCCGCCCCCCAGCTATGACCAGACCCCACCCCAAACCCCATCATTACCCCAACCCCCTAGCACGACCCCAACCCCCTATCACGACCCCAACCCCTATCACTACTCCAAACCCTATCACTACCCCTATCACTACCCCAACTCCCTATCACTACCCCTATCACTACACATATCAGTACCCTAAACCCTAATTCACCACTCTCACCTGTTCTCCTGTCACCATAATTACACCACCACTTTTAATAACAACAACCCCAGTTTTCATTATCTCAATGAGTATCGTTTTGTGCACGATTTTTATCATTGTGTAGGGGTAATCGTCACTCACCACTCTGTGGGCTGGTAGCTTCCCCTTATCGTCAATGGGGAGCGGAAGCGCTATCACGCCAGGGCTAATGTCCATGGCCCAAGAAGGGGCCAACGACAAACCACAGCAGTCATGTTATGTTTTTTTTTTGCATTATGACTGCAGGTATTGTGGTCTATGCAAACATGACTCCTCGTAAAAAAAGTGTCAGTTTTGTTGCCAGATAAAAGGGTAAAAAACGAATTATCATATTTTTTACTGGCAAATGAGGTACCAATGGTGTAAATGCTTACTCCGAGCTCTCATACTCTGATGGTGCATTGTATTTGAGTTGTGCGCCTTTTGGCGTCATCTGGTCCAACCCATGTGATACTAGGCTCTAAGGAAAGCTGTCTCGGGTGTGGACCAATCAACTTCAAGGACAGTGCATACATAATCAGAGTTGTGTTTTTTGTTAGCATTATGACTGCAGGTATTGTGGTCTATGCAAACATGACTCCTCGTAAAAAAGGTGTCAGTTTTGTTGCCAGATAAAAGGGTAAAAAGTAATTATCAGGGGATGTTACCTTCCAGAAAGTTCTAGAATGGAGGCGTGGCTAGGGCGGAGCAAGCCACGAGCCAGTATATAAGCCGGACCTCTCCAGAGGTCTGGCTCAGTCATCTGCAAGCTGAACAACGAAGACCTGGTCTGAAGGATAGGACCCTGGACCCCAATCTCTTCTAAGGGCCGGAGCTCAGTGTGGCCAGTGGTCAGGACCCATGGACCGGGTACGGTCGGGTCAGATAGTCTCCCCTAGGGCCCCAGCCAGAGGACGAAGGGTAACGGGGTACCCAGTGATAGGGCACGTATAGTCCGGAGGCCATACCTCCCGAGGTATCTGGTAAGGGGACCGATATACCCTTTGTGTTAGGGACTTGCAAGAAAGACAATAAATATTGTGTTGCCTCATCAGAAGTTTATTTGTCAATTTATACCCACTACATCTGGGGTCAGAAGTGGCCAAAAATGGAAACAAGACGAACAAACCGCGTAAGAAGCCCAGAGTGTAGAGACAGTTCGGGTGTGGAGACAGTGCGGGTGCAAGGACAGTGCGTGGACTGGTCACAAAGGGGAACCATCAGGGAGAAAGTTCGAGAAAGGGGGCGTGGCCGGGAGCGGAGTGAGACCACGCCGGGGATAAAAGGGGGTGACCAGCGAGGCACGGGGCTGCCATGGGATCGGGGTCATCTGTCTTCACGCCGTCGCTGTCTTCGCATTGTCGCTGTCGTTGCTGTCTTACGTCGTCGCTACTTGCGTGCCAACCCTGGCCCAAGTTACCTGTGTGTCATCCCTTACCAAGTTATCTTCGTGAAGCGCCCTAATTAAGAAATGAAGCAACCCTCTACAATTCCAGTTGTCAGAATCATCATTACAATTGTAAAGCGCCTTCAAATAAGGCGTTTTTCAGTATAAAAATATATACAACTTAACAATTTTTTTTTATTTTACCAGGTAAGGCCCACTGAGCTATATAGTTCTTTTTCAGAAGCGACCTGTCTACAAATGATAAATCAACGAAGTGGCTTATCACGTGGAAATGTATAGCAGCCAAACACTCTAAACACGTGATGTTGATTCTAAATGTAAAGGGCAAAACTGGAGGACCCGTAAAAAAATCCACGTGTCCACAGGGAGAGAGAGAGACACACGCAAACTCCAAATATACAGCAGCAGGCGTCAGGGTTGGAATCGAGCCCATGACTTCCCGTATACCAGGCGAGGTAGTTAACACCTCCGAGCCACCGTGGCGCTGTCCCATGAGATCAAGGGATGAGGAATTACCTCGAGGCGGTTGACAACAAACATCGCCGGGGGGGGGGGGGGGGGGTTGGGTGCGAGAGACGTACCTGAGCGTGGCACCGCACAAGAACCCGTGCTGCACTCCTCCACGTTTTGCCACCGTGAATGCCGCGCGCCCTCACGGCCACGTGAAGTTCCGACCCCGCGGCCAGGGTCAGAGGTCGCGACGTCATGAGCACCCCGCGAGAGGTCACGTGCAGAGAGCGCGGCCTCACTGCGAACGTCGGCGCCGGCATGCCGCCGCACGATCGGAACGGGACTGCAGGCCGAAGAGAGACGGAGAGAGAGGGTCCACAGTTGGGCTCGTGGGTCAGGTCACGCGAAGATGTGGCCAAAGTTCGTTCATGAGGCCCCCCATCACCCGACCTAGCTGAGCGAGTGAATTGTTCACGGGCAGGAGCGTTCAACACGCCAATTATGGTTTCGGTTCGCTCGTGAGTTTAAGAACAATTTTCAAAATCTAATTTGGCGATTAGCCACGAACCGGCTCGCTTCAAACTGTGCAAAGCATCTTCAGGAGCATCCAGGAAGATTCTTACATAGGGGAGATGATATCACGCGAACAACCAATCACATTTAAAACTAGCGTTCAACTATTATATATTTCATTCTACCTGGACATGCCAGTGGGACGATGTCACTCGGCTAGTCTGGGAACTCCTGCGAATTCCCTAGGAAGAGATAGAGTCTGTGTATAGTAGTGTATAGTGTAGTGGTGCTGGAGTCAGTCGCCAAAGAGAGGTCTGAACGCCATACTCAACATGCTGCCGCCGCAACCCTCAGGTCTGGAATTTTAGGCAAATTAGGGTTACAAAACACTGATTTTGTTTGTGTGCAGTTCACCGATGACTCTGGCTTAGGTCCATACACTTGAGAACCCGTTTTAATCTTGGTACCGCAGTTACCTGGATGTAAACCTCAGTGGTTCAGGAGTCAAGAGCGCTGAGCTGGTACCACTGAGGTCCTGGGTTAGAGTCCAAGTTTCAGTTACCGCCTGTGATTACACTTTTTCGTGTGTTAGTTTGTTGTCCTTTCCCCTGCACCTCCGATTAGCATGGCTGGCTACGTACGGCGCGTAAGAAGTTCAACATACATAGACTCACACGGAGACCCAAAGACTCACCACACAGAGACCCATAGACTCACACAAAGACCCATAGACTCACCACACAGATACCCATAGACTCACACAGAGACCCATAGACTCACCACACAGAGACCCATAGACTCACATAGAGACCCATAGACTCACACAGAGACCCATAGACTCACACAGAGACCCATAGACTCACACAGAGACCCATAGGCTCACACAGAGACCCATAGACTCACGCAGAGACCCATAGACTCACACAGAGACCCATAGACTCACCACACAGAGACCCATAGACTCACACAGAGACTCATAGACTCACACAGAGACCCATAGACTTACAAAGAGACCCATAGACTCACACAGAGACCCATATATTTGGGTAGCGAGTAACCGGCTATGGCTCGGTCGCAGTGACTTGCATAGAGACCATATATTTGCATAGAGACACAGTGACTGCATAACCTAAGTTGTGGTAAGACGGGGGCTTTGCCAGTGTAATGGATTAATGTCTCGGCAGATCACCAATGACATAAAAAACGACCACGCAATATGTATTTTTTTTATCCAGACTAAATTCCAGCGGTGACGTTTGACCTATGCCAAACACTCTGTGCATAGAAGGTGAGCCCACAGTGTGGGGACAACCATAGGTCTCTGCTGAGAGTCACTTCAGAAATAGTCCCGTGATCCTCTTCCATCGAATCCCACGTGGCAGGATTATTGAGTCATATAGCTATCGAGATTCATCACGAAGAAGTCCATTCGCATCCTTCGCCTATATTTGTCCCGCCGCGTGAAACATCTCAAGTATTTTTTGACGCGTCCAATCAGTCACACGGGCCTTCTACAAGTGCATCATTTCAGCAAGATTTGTTCGACACCAAAGCAAACTGGACTGGTTTTGACATTCCGCGCATCATTCATAGAGCCAGGCTTGCTTGAAACAATGCTGGTGAATTGCCAGGTGACTAAATCCAAGGGGTAAGACGTGAATGCTCGTTCAACATTAAACTATGTTAAGGTTGGAAATAATAAAATAATAAAAATAAAACATAATAAAATTATTCTCACGACGTTTCGGCCACAACGGCACACGAGGGGGTGGGTGGCCAGCACCACGCCCGGCCATCTTTGTCTCCCCAGTGGCGATGTTTATGCACCGCACCAGCTACTCATTTTAGGCTGAGTCGACCTAGGGGATATTCGTCACTGGTGTTGGCCGTGAGCGGGAATCGAACTCGTGTCGCCGGATTCGTAGCGCAGGGCGCTAACCACTACACACCAATCCCAATACCCGCCATTCGCAACTAAGTGACGGTGACGTCACCACAGCCAGGTGCACCTTGAGGCCACGTTACACAACCACTCCTCACACTCACATTGCATATTCACCCATAGGCCCTGCACACGTAGGAAGGCCAATAATATGCGAGAACGCTGCCGGGCAATGTGGGCACGAGTGAGCACGTCGTGAACGCGGCACGGTGCACAACACCGCGTTCCAAATACTAATGAGATGAGGTCTTTTAGAAATTCTCGGAAGTTCTTGCGATCGAGAGAGCCCGACTTTTTTGCCGATGAAGATGATGAATGTTTGCGTGTGTCGAACCACAACGCCGGCTGCAGTTGTGTACGCCCAGGAGGCTCTGTGTGTGTGTGTGGCTGATGGAATGTGTAAAATTATTTTTTTGATCTTTGGAAAGACAACAGTAATAATGTTCAAGGAGGCGTATTGACCGATGGTTCAATTTGTCACATTTCCCGCGATGATGATCATTGTCCGTGATGGATTACATCTTGGCTCACGTTGTAAAGACGTTACCCCGGATGAATGACGGTATACTGTCGAAGTGCCGTATACTGGAATTCATCAATAATGCCATTAACACTGGTCCACAGCCAAAATGCTTCCGAAATAAATGTCGTACAACATTACTAATTCTGGGTCACTGAGAATTTATATTATGCTTGAAATTGTTGATTGGCTCCAGTTTTCAAGATATGCTACTGGGTCAGTATATAGTTAGACTGATGGCCTTAATCTGAGTTGTCTTGTGGTTGTTGTTGGTTGTTTTACTTGCATTCCACTGGGATTTTTGCACACAGTGTTGGTGTACGGTGTTTTTTCTGCAATATTTTGATGTCTTTTCTTGGTTTTTCTTTTTGCACTCAGTCACATATTCACTTTAAGATGTTTTTTGTTCGTGTTTTTGTTTGTTGCGGTTGCACCCGATTCAAGAGCCGAATGACTCACAGGGCGATACCTAATAAATGAACTTGAACTTGAACTATACGACCCTTGACTTGGGAATGGCAGAGGATAAGTGAGTTATAAAGGTGTAGTGCGTTGTACGGAGGCACACGCTGGAGTTGGAGGCTACACGTTAATTTCAACACCCCAACAGGGCTAACTACACAAGCGTGCACGGCTTCAACATCTCAGTGACATATTCTTAGGTTTTTTCGGTAAAGTCACGTAGGTAAAACATTTTAATTAATAAAAGTAAAATAAAATAAAAATTACGACGTTTCGGAAGCAACACAAACTTCCGTCTTCAGGTGGAACAGTCACAGCACGATAGCTGCATCTGAAGACGGAAGGTTTCGTTGCTTCCGAAACGTCGTGATTTTTATTTTATTTCTTATTTTACTTTTATTAATTTTAATTTTTTACCTACGTGACTTTACCGAAAAAACCTAAGAATTTGAATCCTTGTAGTCACGAAAGCTTCAAATCTAGAATCTCAGTGACAATTACACAGTTAACCACGTGAGCAGCCGATTAACTCCATGAACGGGTCAGTCAGCGTACATGCTGCCTGACCCACGATGCCGAGCGAAGAACGAAGACCCGGAAACGACGACGAGACGCGGCACCCCAGGATGATTTCACAGACGAGCCTCGAACACACTCCGGACTGCCCCTTTATGCTCCTGAGCGTGGCCTTGCTCCCCCTTCGAGACCTTTACGGAAGGATCTCGACGGAGCGTCACGTGTCCCTCAAGCCTCGCTTGCCCCCCTCACTACCCTGTCCTGGTCACGTGCCCTCTCGGGTTCACCCAGACTACCATGTCCTGACTTGCCCTCTCTGAGGCCGCCGCCAGGACTATGCCCCCCAGGGCCCGCTCGCATGGCGTACTCACTCTGGCCCCAGACGCACAGTAGAACTCTTATTTCGGTGCCTGGCGCTACCACCATGGTGACACCCTTAACGTCACTACGAAGGGAAGGGAGCTCAATTTAAAGCAGAAATTACTCAAATACATCTTTGACTGGATCTATGAATAAATCTATCACCGGGTTTGGACAGTACAGTGTTACCCTGGATATCCAACTTAATTCGTTCCAGAAAGCCATTCGAACACCGATTTGTTCGAACACCGATTTGTTCGAACACCGAATTAATTTTCCCCATAAGAATTAATGTAAATGACATTAATTGGTTCCAGACACAAGAAATCTCTCATTAGAAAGCATTTCTACACGAAGTTTACAGGAATCACATGCATAAAATCATACAAAAGAAACAAGAAACACAATAAATAAATGGAATAAATTGATAAATATATGGAATAAATGAAATAAATGAAAATTTGAACTTCACTTTACCTGTAGTAAGGAGAGCTGATGGATTGAGTGGAAGGTGGTGAGAAGGAGGAGGTGGTAAAACCTTTGTCTGGGCAAACGTCATGCACGCTGGCCATACGCGTCTCAGCCATACAGCTTCTTTCAAGTCGTGATTGCCCGTTCGACCTCCGAATTTCGATTGGTTCGGGAAATATCGTTCGAGCACCGAATTGTTCGAGTTCTGATGCGGTATATCTCCGAGGTTCTACTGTACTTGCTTTTTGAGCAAAACAATGAATGATGCAATCTGAACCTGAGATTGCATCATACATGATATTATTCCTAGAAGGCATTGGTAATGCAATCATAACTAGGCTTACATCTCTCTGCTGAAAAAAATGCCCTATATAAGTTCTAGAAATTATACAGTGCCGTGCTCTCTTATTTGTCAGTGTTTGATTTTGTAACGGAACACATTTCTGTTTAGCCAAAGTGAGCAGAGATGCCTCGTACTTGTGTGAACAAAGCTGATAACTTCTGCTATGTTTGTGGTGAAGTGAATTTTGCATCACAAAAGCGCATCACTGTGGTTAAG